AGAAAATAAACAAAATTAGTTAGAAAAACAATAATTATCTTTAAAAGGGATCCAACGGATATTTCATTTTGAATTTTGTTGTTACCTTTGTCTGCGATTGAAGGTACCATGAGAGAATTTTAATCTTTTAAGATAAAAATTAAAAACTAAGATATTTAAGAGATTAACGTGTTGTAACCTCTTCGATAATATCACACAACCGACACAATGGGGTCTACCAATTGGTCTTTAAATGCCTGTGACCAAAGTTTCAATTTTGAGCAATGATTCTGGACAAATAATGAATCAGCAATGCCACTTGAGATTGGATCTCGGCGGTTTGATTCTCATCAACACGCACGAGATTCATTGCTAGAATTTCAACTAAAAATTCACCGGTTTTTACTCAAATAATCCATCAAAAGTATTTATTCATATCCAACAAATCAAATTTGAGTTTGAATTGGATTTAAATAAAAGAAAAATTTAGAAGTCGGTACAATTTTTTACACTTATTTGAGCAAAAGTACATCTCAAAATCTTATTTGGGATAAAGTGCATATTTTTTAAAAATACCACCATTTGGTAAACAACGGAAACGTAGAACCCATTTGTATTCCTTTGTATATTATGGCTAGAATCAGTTAATGGGAGATAAAAAAGGGGATTTAATTATCAAAACCCGTATTCTTAAGCATCCTGAATCCATAGCAATGGGATATCCACAAAATGACATAACTGTTTATTATTTCTATTTTAACCATTAAATATTCCACAAAAAAAGGAGTACTATGATAGTTCCAAAATCTGACTGTTCATCATCGCCGGCGTCGTGCAGAACTTGTTCAGCGTCTCCGACAACTTTTTCACCGAAAATTTGAGGTGACATTCAATTTTTTTTTCATTCATTGATTATTTAGTTTTTTTTTTTTCAAAAATAAAACCAAATCATAAAACCCTAATTTTGTGAAATTATATTAAGAATTTGCAAATCTATTATAGCATTTTTATATGAAAAAAACAACTTGGAACATGATTTTTTTTGATTAAAAATAGTTACGTAACTGTTTTAAGTAACTATTTGGAATTCAAATATTGACTTTTTTTATTCAAAATTTAATGAGTTTAACTGCGTTGCGTAACTATTCTTCTTATTTTAAGAATTCAATTCTTATAAGTATGTTATTGGCAACTTTTTGGTTCATGATTTTTTTGATTAAAAATAATTACGTAACTCTTTTAATTAACTATTTGAGATTCAAATATAGACAGTTCATATTCAAAATTTTATTTAGTCTAATTGTGTTGCGTAACTATTTTTCTGATTTTAAGGATTCAATTTTTATAAGTCTATTATTAGCAACTCTATGGTTCATGATTTTTTTGATTAAAAATAGTTACGTAATTGGTTTAACTATTTGGGATTCAAATATAGACATTTCATATTCAAAATTTAATGGGTTTTTATGTGTTGCGTAACTATTTTTATGATTTTAAGGATTCAATTTTTTATTTGTTATCAGTAACTTTATTGATATACTATTGAATAATTGTATCTTATTTGTATTGTAACTGTCTTGAACATCTATTACTGAATCAAGCATATTGTTAACAGTCTTTTTGTCTCTGTGGATTAATTGTTGTTCACATTCTTAATGGAGGTAAGTCAAAACAAAGGCCAAACCAATTCCAATGTAGTATCTATATGGTCATTTCAATGGGTTACCCAATTCAGATTTTGGGTATAGTATCTTATCAAAACTCAAACACAAATAGCAATTCACCCTTTTCAACACACCAACATTAGTACTGAAATAAATATTTGTGCCTCAAACAAGCAATATTGGACAATTCATCTAAAAATTCAGTTTTACATTCGTGAGAATTCTTTTATCTTTTCACTACAATAACAATACCTGATTCTACAAAAAAAGGTTTAGTAAACAGTGTCAAATGATCTGTAAACAGTGTCAAATGTCTTTTGTGGCTGACTTGAGCTCTTTGTATCTAAAAGTTCTTGGGGCTGTAAAAACATTAATACAAATCAATTAATTAATTAATTATCTACGTACTGAGAGAAAAAACATAAAATAACAAAAATTTACAAATATACCGAATCTTCCAAAATAGATATTGGCTGAAAAATTGCACACAATAGCATTTACATTAAAACATAACTCTAATTAAAAAATAGTTACACCCATTAAAAACTAATACATTTTTTTCCCCGTTCATCCCAAAAAATGAACAACACATAACAATCTTTGATTAATAATCTGAGAATAAAATAAAACAGTTAACAAACAATGACATATTAACATTTTTTCGAAAACATACATTAATGTTAATACCCAAAAATAGTTACACCAATTAAACCCAAAACAGTTTTTTTTTCTCATTCATTCCAACAACGACCAAACATATACAAAAACGAACATATGAATTTCCCCAAAAAAATGATCAAATTGTAGAAGAAATATAATTATTTTGTCTATACTAAAAATATTTACACCCATAAGTAACAGTTACACCCATTAAGATCAAAACAGTTTTTTTCCCCTCCATTCCAACAAAAAACGAACATAAAACAAAAATCGAACATAGAAATTTCCCAAAAAAAAATGACCAAAAAAAGAAGAAATATAATTATTAACAACTCACCTTCAATCCGATGATGATGATTGGTATTTGCAATTCATTTTTCAAAGAAAACCACCACCAGAGAAATAAATCACCATTAAAGAATACTCATCAGTTGAACACATACGTCTAATTCAAAAAAATAAAGATAACAAATATGAAAACATTACATATTTGTTTCCTAAAATAATTGTCAATAGATGCATAAATCTCTCACAAAACTGCTCATTCAAAATTCAAAAATAAAAAGATAATAAATATGTAATCTTTATATATTCGTTTCCTAAAATAACTGTCAATCATGGCTGCATAAAATAAGGAAGGGTGTTAAAGTAAAAAAGATTTTAATTCATTTGAATTTTGTACCAAAACATAAAAAGTATTATAAAAATTGTACTTAATAGAATAAACCATTTACCCATACACTTTTGCTCAAATAAGTATTGAAAATTGTACCCACACCTAAAAAACCCTAAATAAAAATAAGATATATCTATGTGTTACCCCCTTAGCTCGTTGGCGGCATTAGCATAGGGCAGCCTTAGCCAAAGTGGCAGAAGTCTCATGCATGACTGAGAGAGGCAGTCTATGCACATGGCCACGTGGGCACAAGTCAACATGCAAGCAGGGAAGTCGGGTGACTTGAATTGTGAGGCAATGCTGCTTGAATGATTGAGCCGTGGGCTGGGCCAGGGTTAGGCATGGATGCAATTCAATTCGAATGCTGAGGGCTCCTGACACATGCACAATATGTGAGGAAGTTGGGCATGTGCCTTGCAGCAGATGGTGGCAATTCTGTACAGGTTTCTGGCAAGTGCAGAGCATGTGGGGATCTCTGTCAGATTCAGACAGTATGCAGGGAAGTTGCAGACATCAGTTACAACTTCCCCTACCATCCGATCATAGTAGACTTCTGGGAGCATTTGAATTGTAGCAGTTGCCTAGGCGGTTTGGCTTGTAACCGCCACCCTGAACATTATAAATAGGGTGTCTGGGTCTGTAGTGCACCATTAGAGTTGAGCACGTTTTTGTAAACAGATCCAAGGCTGAGTTCCTTATGCTTTATTGAGAAAGAAAGGTTTGGCTTATTGACCTGTAAATTCTGTGTGCTTTGTTTGTGTGTTTACTTACTGTCTCTTCTTTGTTCTTATGTGCATTCTGTGTGTAGTCTGAGTGTTTGGCCGAGACTAAGTGTGAAATCTTAATGCCATCATAAGACAGAAATTCGGTGAGAAATTTAATCCCGTGACACTATGTATGTGGGGATTGGTGGTCAACTAGGATAAGATATATCAGTGGTAGGGTCACTCATAGGCTAGGATGGGCTGGTGCCCGTTAACATTTGTCTTTGTCTACTATACATACTCGTACGATATTTTCTTTTAGGGCCCATTTTAATTTTTTGATTTTTCCTTTGACCCTTGCATTTTGGTGTGTTGAGAAAAAAATATTATTACACAATATATTCTTACTAGGGGTACCTCGTGCCTAAATGCACGATACAATTCAAAAAAAAAAGAAAGAGTGGCTTCTCTGACAATGGAGTGACGGGTGAGGTGAGGGAGGATGAGATGGATTTTGGGGGAAAAAATATGTGTGAGATAAAAATTCAAATTTTCAGTTGTTTTATTATATAGATGTTTTAACAAGTCAAAAAATACATGAGTTATGTGTCAAATTTAAATTGTTATTTGGATTAGTGTTGCTTGTTAAATACATGATTCTTAATATTATTATCAGATTTAGATCTCCCCCAATTAATTTTTTTATTTTTCTTAAATGATATACCTATTATTCACTTTAGTAAAACTTGTATGTAATTAATTAGTTGCAGTTAAATTTACAAGAGATTATCCAAGATTTGAGGAAATGTTTATTAAAGAAAATTAGTGTCCCACCCGAACTTTTTTTTTTTTATTACAAATATTGAGAGAATATTTTTATATAGGATAAGACTAGGTACATCTACGCCTCTGCTGGCTCCATTTTTATCCAATACTAATGGTGAAGTATGTGTGCTATAAATAGTTCCTTAGCTGTGATTGTGTTGTAAGTAACTACTAGTTGTCAACCTCTCTGGTTCACCTTTGGAAAGCTGTGTTTTTTGGACCATCAAGCTAGCAGCATAACTAAGAAAAGAGGCAAATTTTCTGAAAAAGGGCAGCACTGAAACTCATTTATACCCATTGGACTCAGAGTAGGAAAGAAGATCTAAACAAGCTAAAACAATATGGGACAATATTGTCATCTTGATGAGTTCGTATGAGGCTCCTGCTAAGTTGGACATCAAATCTCATCAGTGTCATTGGAGCGCCTAACATCAGAAGAAATGCGCCTGAAGGCCATCCAACGGAGCATTGGAACAGTTACATGGCTGTCGTCTAGCTGCTTAGGTTCTGGAAAAACTCCGGAGGGATTGATGGAGGGCAGTACTTCTTTGCAACAAATTTGTACTGATTCACAAATAAACACATCAGTTGACAGGCAAAACACATACATCAACCAAAACTTGAGCAGAACAGGATGCCAAAATTTGAATTCAGTTGTGGACTAGTTCAGAAACTTGAGCCTACAAGTTTCTGTGAGTATAGAATTCATCAAAATCTAAATGTTTTCCCGAACATTAAGTGTAATGAAGCACCAAAATTTCAAGGAAGAAGCTCATCTTTAACAAGCACTTGATTGAATCTGTTGTTTCTTTCCCAATAAATCATGCCTTCCTACCTTTATTTTGGGTATCTAAACATCCTTACACAATTCAACGGATTTCATGAGAAAATCCAAGTTGGATCCGTGATGCTTGTCTGCCTGTCACTCATCGCCTTTTTTCTATATATGATTCTTGTCCCCAGCTTGTTCATTAACCCTGGTACGTCACAGGAGATGCAATAGCAAATCCACCTTTCTAACAATTTTAACAGGCCACATTGTGCAAAACTGAAACCATAACATTCCCAGGCCGAAAAAACAAGCACATTGGTAGATCATTCAGATCAATATATTCAACCGGATTCATCATTAGAAATTAGTTTTCCCGAACTTCATATAGCGTATTTCAAATTCAGGCATGTTATTAATTCCTAACACAATTATATGGCTTACTTAAATGCAAAGTGTGAGCACAATTACATTTCAATCCCAAAAAGTCTTCTGTTTGTTGATAAGGGTCTGCTACTCTGCTTGTGTGTCTGTGTTGGTGTTAGTTTGGAGTGCCCACGGGACCTAATCTTTATCTACTTGCTTCAAGTCAGCCTAATGGTGTGAGACTGCAGGTGGTTAGGGTGTTGGGGAAGGGGGTTTGTGGATAGGTGGTTAGTTATGTCTCTGTATATACATGCTGATTAGAGAATATATGGTATGACAAGTTCTGCTTACCTTATGCTGACTGTATTTCTCTCTGACGGCAGGTAAACTGGAGTTGTGATTATTACCGCAAAGGCTATGCAATGCCATAACACAGTCATGCATAACAGAGGGCTCATAAAGAGTGTAGTGCTGCAGGGTAGCATTCTGTCTCGGATAAAATGAAGGTTGAAATATGTTAGAGGAGTCTCCAGATAAGAATTTCAGGACCATATAAAATATCTCAATTAGAAGCAGGAAAAGAAATTGGTTGGGTTGTATCTGACACGTACCCATGGTCTACTCAAAGGAAGAAGAATATAATTGGCCAAGAAAATTGCCGATGCAGCAATAAGTGAAGGGGCATAACAAAGCATGTTGTACTCTAAAAGAGATAACTCCGCAAGGTAGTTGGCCAGGCACTCCAGTTGCAATAGTGGAGCCTAGAAAGAGAGCAAACAGTATAATAGTCGTAACAAATATCCTAGTATGATTACATTACAAAAAATGTTTGAAATCCATCTAAAAGAAAAAGGTCGATGATAATGATCACAGCACTGCAATTGAACTATTTCTTTAACTTAATTTTTGCATTCACAAGAATCTACCAGTATGACTGGAAATGTCATTTTTCAGGCTTCAAACACATTAGAGAAATGCTTAATTTCAAATACTAAGCAGTCCAGCATAAGATGGTACCTCGTTGATCCCTTGAGCAGCACGAACAAATCGCCTACATTTATGCATCCATCAATAGCAAATTAAATTTAGGAGCATTTTATCCAAGAATGGAAAACATTCACCCAAAATCTGTAATTTACCATTACCTCAAAAAGCATTTAGCTGTGGGCGCTGTCATTTCAAACTTCAAGTAATTCAGAACAGCCGATTCCATTTGTAAAACCTGCAAAAGTTACATTGATTAATGCTTATCCAAACAATCAAAGCAACATCTGGAAATTCACAACTCATCCACATGAAAATAGAACCCACCTCCTCCTTGAAGTATGTGTTATCGGTAATGTAGCAGAACTCTTCCACCTGAGGTGCACATATCTCCTCGTATTTTCTGGCAAATATCAATTTTTATTCTTTGTTAGGATCCATGTCATTACATAAGCAACAAAATATATAATGGGACAGAACAAGAGAGAAAAAAGATAGTCTAGAAGAACGAACAAGCAGAAGAGGTTGGAAATGTATCTTACGAGGCAATCATCATGCATGCAACTCCAAGCAATTGAAGTCGTTGTCTATCCATCATATTGCCAGAAAGATAACGATCTATGTAGTTTACAGTCAGATACAATGTATCAGGTACAAGCCTATACTCTTCGGCAACCTGCAAAAAAGCATTAAAATTTACTATTGATAAAATAGAAGAGAGTACAGCTTCAGCTATATAGCGATGATATTTCCAATCAGGGTGGCCATAATCCAATCTAAACAAGCCAGTCGATAAGTATCTACATTGGTACCTCAACAAGCCAGTCGATAAGTATCGCACGCATGCTGGGATTGATGTCTTTCTGGACCCTCTCCATAAAGTCGGTTGATGGTCTTTTCTTTGCCTAGATATTCCACGGAAGAGGAAACAGAAACACATGAAGAAAGGTAAAAGATATGGGAAAAACGATACACAATCAACGTACAAATAGTGGACTAGATGATGTTGTTGGGAGCAATAAATCCAGAATCAGTTAAGCATGAAATAGAGTTCAATTGTATCACATCTACCCTAAAGTGGACACCCATCCACTCACTCCATGGAAACAAACTGGTTTGTACATAATATACTTGCTTGGCCTAAAATTTAATAAAATATGCTCGAGCTAAGAGAAACTATCATAGCACCCTCAATGACTCAGATCCTATAATTCTTATTCTGTTGCATATTGCTGTACGAGGAATAGTGAAATCCATCATGAAGCAGATGAATTACGGGGAAGACCAAATATTTTGGAGTATGTATCAAGGTAGTGTTGTCAAAGGAGTGACTAATCCATAAAGCAAATACAAAATATACTTCAAAAAGGAAAAAGAATGTGAACCTCAGATGCTCGCAAGTGTTTGTAAATGTCACAAGCCATGGTAGCACATAACTGCGGGTCCATCAAATTGTTATCGACATCAAAGACCGTATCAGTTGTCTCCATATCTGCGTGTATCTGTCTCTTGCAAGTATTTCCTGTGAACAGCCATGAGAATAAACTATTTCAATCCATGGCCAGTTGAGGTATACTCTATATGCCTGCCCCTCTTTTTTGCTACCTAACTTTTCTTGACAGTACATACAAGAAGAAATTCTAACAAATAGATACAGAGGCAAGGAATGAACTACAACCACTTGGGAAAAGTAATAAATCAGAAGCAAAACCTGCTGCTTGCACATGCTCTGAGATGTAAAGTTTACTGGATGTCTTCCTCTCAATAGAATTAACTGCCTCTATGTCATTGTTGTCCACATACTCCACTTCTGGACTTTTGAAGGAGTCACAAGTAGACATAGTTTCATCTAAAGAAACAGAAACTCCATCGGATTGAGTAGGTGATATATCCATGCTGCATTCGAGAGGAGGGACAGTAGTCCTCAACAGAGTTACATTTTTTTTCGAAAAAGAGGTATTACTGCAAGGGATCACACTTGGTTTCCCGTGTGCTGATGCTGGCAGTGTAGAACTCCCAGAGAAGCCTGCATTACTAATGGAAGCAGTAGATCCCTTCTTGATGGTGACAATTTTAGCCGCACATGGTACCTTCAAACATGAACTTCATTAATTATCTTCTTCCATGGTTAGAACAAGCACAGTTCAAATGCTAGATGATGCAGAGACTGATTTAAGCACTCAAAGTATCCAACTCAAATGTAGCAAAGATCAATGGTGATCAAGAGGCATTGGGACAACATGAGATACACAAAATCAATCTAATTTGTTTCAGGCCCATGGAATGGAATCGTTACAAAGGACAGAAATGAACTCATTTAGAAATTGAGCCCAAAATATACTAAAAGTAGCAGTCCCTGAAAAACTGATTTTTAACAAGGTGAAGAATTTCAATCGTGATTTAGCCAATCCATGAAGCAAAGAAAGCAAGGCTCTCCATATTGCCTATAAAACATTTCTTTATAAAGTGAAAATGGGGCTTCATTCTTCTTGAATTGTATGTCAAGTGGTTTTCACGCTACATTGCATAAAGGCCCGATCACTAGCCTATGATCTAGACACCATACGTTTTGTCTATAATTGCTAGAAAGCATTGACCGAAATCCAGAATATTCAAAATATCTAACAAACTTCCAGGTTCATGGTAGGCATTGCTCAATATCTCAGAGTTACTTCTGGTGTGGCAATTAAATATTTTATTATATCCTCTGTTATTATGAATAGCAAGTTGACCAAGCAGTCAAAAATTCACCAAGAAATAACATATAATATATACTTCAAGAATGAAAACACATTTTAAAATAAGAGATAGTAAAATCCACAAACAGAACATAAACCAAATTGAATGTGATTATCATATTATACCATATTGGACGACCCTGAAACCAAGCTTCGTCCACCATTCTGAGAACCATTCCTCTGGTTCGTCACGTTAGCCAGAGCTGGCCGTTTCTTCGCCATTTGTGATGGCACTGCCGTGATCTTTCCAAGATTCTCTGAGGAAGACGCGTGTCTTTTAGCCAATGACGATGGCTGTACCGCTGAGGAAGACGATGAAATCGATGAGCGCCGATTCTGGGTCGCCATTGCTATTCAAATGTTACCTAGAAATCTGAATTTTCCTTCAAGAAAATGAAGGTCTTCAGCTTAGTTTCTTGCTCACACTAATCGAAGCAAGAAGTAAGAACCCCCGAAAATGAAAGGAAATGGTCGCAAGATGCGAATCTCAGCTCAAAAAAGATCGAAACTAGGGTTTGAGTTCATGGGTTCTTGAAGAATCGTTGAGAGAGCGACGAGAGACAGAGAGAGAGACAGTGAAGTGAATTAAAGCAGAGTAGAGAAGGGTTTTAGAGAGAGAAAGCAGGTAATATACAAGATAGGTTTTTTTTTAATGGTACTTTTGAGGCGGGCAAAAGGTTGATTTGAATTGTAAACTAATCCTGACCGTTGGATTGCCATGCTTTTCGTTAAGGAGCGGACAAGACTGGGGCCCACAGTTCTCGTTGTTTGTATCGGATTCGGTGAATGAGGGTCACAAATTGAAAGACGACTGACCAATCAATTGAGAGGGAGTTCTGGAAAAGGCCTGCTGCTGGCTTCTGGGTTGTCGAGGAATTTGAGGACATTAATTGGTCGTTCATCAGTTTTAAGTCACAGACAGTCACGATAGCGTTTAAAGTTTGAATTCGAAATTTAAACGTTGGACAGATTCTGTCACATATGGCAAATGAGGGACCAACTTCAACTTGGGCTCTGCGAGACGTTATACACATCCGGGAAAACCATGGCATTCGAATCATTTTCTACTAATTATGCATTATCCCTCTAATTATTATGGATTGCACTTAATCCCCTCATATTCAAAAATAAAGTGTAAATTAGAACAAAGTTAATACTTCTTCCGTTCCTAAATATCTGTCATTTTACATAATTTTTTTTGTTATATAATATCTATCGTTTAATAAAACAAAAACATAATTAATATTTTTTTTTCCAAATTTATCTTTAACTTTTTAATGCATTAGATTAGGTGGATACTAAGTGTCTTTTATATTCTTTTCATTTTCTATTACATATTGAATAAGGCTATTTTAGTTATGTATAATTATTTTTTACTCATATTAGAGCTATTTAATAATTTTCTTAATTGCTAATCAAAAATTTTAAACGATAGATATTTAAGAACGGAGAGAATAATTTTTATAAAAAATTTAAAATATATTTCTATTTTTATTTCAATTTTCTTTGTGATGTCACTCGAACCAATAAAATCTAAGCACTACCCCTCACCTTCTCTTGTCACAATTACACACTATTAGCTGCCACAACCTAGCAAGCAGTTTCAAACTTCAACCAGCACCACTTAACTATCCATTACTAATATTCAAAAACACACGACAAAAATCAAAATAAGCCAATAAAACCATCACAATTTTTAAACTTTAAATCCTTAAATTTAGTTGAATCAAAACTTGCAATATCGCCTCCCAATCATTTCCCAGAAAATCCTCAACACCACACATGCCTCATATTTCCACATTATGGCACTCCCTACAACAATTCCCACGTCCATCACATCATCACTTAGCCAACAACTATCAAAATCCAAAAACACACTACAATAGTCAAATCCGTAGAAATTTAAGCTCTGTTTAATTTGTGTTTCAAAAAATAGTATTCGAAAATAGTTTTTGAAAAAAGTTTTAAAAAAATGGTTTTGATATTTTTTGAGATAAAAAACTTATTTAGTTAAATGATTTCAAAAATAATTTTACAATACAAAAAATAGTAAAACATGTTTGGACACCATAAATATATATTTGAACAGTAATTCAAACATTAATAAAAAATATATATATATATATACATACTCATATCTAAACATCTAAAATTGTTCTCCTTATTTTCAAAATTTTGAAAAAAAACTCTGAACTTGTTTTCTGTTTCTTTAACTCAAATCTTATTTTTTTTTCCAAAATTTAGAGAACAAAAATGTTAAACAAACATGTTTCGAGTATTTTTAAAATTTTCAGAACAAAAAACTATTTTACAGAAACTAACCAAATACACCCTAATATTACAAATCCTTGAATTCAGATGAATCAAAAATTGAAATTGAAATTCTATAAATTTAATAGTGTTGAAAACGGGGATATTTGGGTTGTCCTCAACCACGATGATGAGGACGATGTATGTTAGAATTGGAGGAGCTCTCATGTGCTGACGACATTGAGAGGGCAATTGGGTTTTTCACAAGAGAGGTTGACGAGGATGGTGAGATGGCAAAGGTTGATAAAAGAGGCAATGAATTGAGTGTTAATTGTATAAATTATAATATAAATTTTATGAATTAAATATTAATTTCGTATTAATTGGGTGAATCGAATATTAATTGGATGAATTGAATGATGTTGATTTGATAAATCAAATGTTTATTAGATAAAATTGCATATTACTTTAGTATTGATTTGATAAATTGAATTTTTATTGAATAATTTTGGATGTTAATTTGATGAATTGAGCATTAATTAAATGAATTTGAATATAAATTGAATAAATTAAAAGTTAATTTCGTATTAATTTGATTAATTGAATGTTAAGTTATTGAATTAAATGTTTATTAGTCGAATTTAAATATTAATATGATGAATTAAATGTTTATTAGATTATAGAGGAAGAGCATGGAGAAATGCGTTCTTGTGGAAAAGGGATATTAATGTATGTGTTAAAAGGTTTTAAGATTTCCATATAGAATCTGTCATTGATGCAGGTTTTGCTTGATCAGTGGCATTTTATAGGCTTCTATGGTCATCCCGTTACTACAAATTGGAAATTTTCTTGGAATTTGTTAAGGCGTTTGTATGCTCGTTCTGATTTACCATGGGTGAAAAGCTTGGAGGGGTTCCTAGACCACTTTGGCAGATGAGGGATTACAGAGTAGCCATAGACGATTGTAATGTTCTAGATTTAGGTTTCAGTAGTTACCCATATACGTGGTGGAATGGAAGCGCATTGCTTCTGTTGATAAAGTAAGGCTATATAGGATTTGGGTTCCTGTTCTTGGATTGCCAAATTTCCTGAAAGTTCTATGTCTCATTTACAAGCAACTGGGTCTGATCATTGCCAGCTTCTTTTCCGAGTTGCTAAAGTGGGGGAAGGTATACGTTTGTTATCCAGACCTACGAAGAGATTTTGGTTCGAAGCTATGTGGATTACAAATCCAAGTTGCGTTGATGTTATTCGATTCTCTTGGCAAGATGTTCAGTCTCCATTAAATGTTCATAGCTTTTATCATAGAGTTCAAAGTTGTAGAGTTGGTCTTTTAAAATGGAAGAATGTAACTTTCGGACATGTTGGACGTCAAATTGAGGCAAATAATGTCAAGTTATCCCACCTACAAGAATGCCCAATGACTGAATAGAATAGGTTGGATTTTTGATCTGTTCATAGTATTAACCAATTGTTGGAGGCAGAAGAGTTGCTTTTGAAGCAAAGGTCCATAAATTCGTTGCTCGCAGAGGGTGATAGAAACACCGGGTTTTTCCGTACTTAGGCAACACAAAGGAGACAAATCAACAAAGTGGAAGGTTTGTTTAACAGTTCTGGGAGATGGGTTACTGAGTAGCAACAGGTTGAGTTAGTTGCGTTGCAGTACTTCCAGGAAGTGTTTACTTCTGATCGTCCTTGACAAGTTGATCTGGATAGAGTACTTCGCTGTGTGAATCCAAAGGTTACAGAAAAAATGTATTCCTCTCTTATTAAGGAGTTTTGGTCAATATAGGTAATCGAGGATTTAAATCAAATGCACCCAACTAAGAGTCCTGATCCAGATGGTATGAACGCTTTGTTTTATCCGAAATTTTGGAGTATTGTGGGGGCAGATGTGATTCAAGTAGTCCCACAAATTCTTAATTCTGGTAGCTCTTGTTTTCCAATTAATAATACACTTGCTGTTCTTGTTCCCAAAGTTCAGTCCCCAACTAGAATGACGGGTTTTTGACCTATTAGTCTATGTAATGCGATTTATAAGTTCGTGGCTAAAGTTTGACTAATCATTTGAAACAATCCTTCTTCGTATCATATCTGAGACCCAAAGTGTTTTCCTATCTTGGGTGATTTATAACGGCTAATGTGCTTATAGCCTATGAGTTGAAACATGTTCTGAAGACTAAAAGGAGGGGAGGTAAGGGATTTATGTCTATCAAACTGGATATGCGGATAACTTATGATAGGGTTGAATGGAGTTTTTAAGAAGCTATAATAAGGAAATTGGGTTTTGCGGATCAGTGGATAGTTGAGTTGGGTTAAGTCTGTTATTTACTCTATTCTTCTTAATGGAGTACAAAGAGGCTTTATAAGACAACAAATGGGTTTGAGAGAAGGTAATTCATTGTCTTCATATCTTTTTCAACTTTGTACCGAAGGTCTAACTATGGTTACTACAATTCATTAAATCTTTAATGAACCATGATCTTGGTATATCGATCCTAAATGAGATGGATTCGCAATTCAGATCACCAAAATAGACGATCCCAAATTATAATACTAACTCTAAATCAATTCGCTTTAGAACATGTAGCACAATATAAAATATATATTAATGTATATAAATTTATAATTATATATTATTTTAGATAGTAGAAAATCAAGTACAATTATAAAATAAATAATAACCAACTTAGTGTTTATGAATGTTCTTTAATATATAATGTTGTATAACAATGAAAACGATTTATAGAAGAATTCCAAAACTAATTGCGACAAAAAATATCGTACCAGTTAAATCTAATCTCATCGTATCGCGTACTTAAGAAAATGTCGTACCATATATCCGTACTCGTACCACGTATCAAAGCGACTCACGATCTGGATAACATTGGGTCTAACAGCTTTACTTCGAGATCACAACTCAATGGTTTGTTACAAGGGATCACAATTGGTAGAGAGGGTACTTCTTTCTCGCATTTATTTTTTGCGGATGATAGCCTACTGTTTGCTCAGGCTAATAGTGAGAATGCCTGTGCTATTAAGGAGTGTTTAACCAGCTATGAAGCTGCTTCGGGGCAAAGTATAAATTTCATAAAGTCGGCTATTGTTTTTAGCAAGAATGTGAATGCTGTGGACAGAGGAGTAGTGCAACAGCAGCTCTAGATCGAAGAGAGAAATCTTTGGGATTACCTTATGTTGCAGTCGATCAAAGAGAGAAATCTTTCATTCAATTCGGCAAAGAGTGTGGCAAAAAATTTCGTATTAATTTGATTAATTGAATGTTCAGTTATTGAATTAAATGTTTATTAGTCGAATTTAAATATTAATATGATGAATTAAATGTTTATTAGATTCTAGAGGAAGAGCATGGAGAAATGCGTTCTTGTGGAAAAGGGATATTAATGTATGTGTTAAAAGGTTTTAAGATTTCCATATAGAATCTGTCATTGATGCAGGTTTTGCTTGATCAGTGGCATTTTATAGGCTTCTATGGTCATCCCGTTACTACAAATTGGAAATTTTCTTGGAATTTGTTAAGGCGTTTGTATGCTCGGTCTGATTTACCATGGGTGAAAAGCTTGGAGGGGTTCCTAGACCACTTTAGCAGATGAGGGATTACAGAGTAGCCATAGACGATTGTAATGTTCTAGATTTAGGTTTCAGTAGTTACCCATATACGTGGTGGAATGGAAGCGCATTGCTTCTGTTGATAAAGTAAGGCTATATAGGATTTGGGTTCCTGTTCTTGGATTGCCAAATTTCCTGAAAGTTCTATGTCTCATTTACAAGCAACTGGGTCTGATCATTGCCAGCTTCTTTTCCGAGTTGCTAAAGTGGGGGAAGGTATACGTTTGTTATCCAGACCTACGAAGAGATTTTGGTTCGAAGCTATGTGGCTTACAAATCCAAGTTGCGTTGATGTTATTCGATTCTCTTGGCAAGATGTTCGATCTCCATTAAATGTTCATAGCTTCTACAGGAGATTTATCCATGCATTCGGGATGTCTTTCTCCCAACGAAAGATTTTGGCTGACCTGACGTAAGTCTACGCTTTGTGCCAGTAGCCTTTATCTCACGATTTTCGCGGGCACGCTTGTACCACATCGACGGAGAGTCGTCTGTCCCTCGCATATAAGTCTTGACACTATATGGAGGAAGTACCTACTAATAGGGGTGACAATTGAGTCGGATTCATATCGTGTCGAACATTAGTCAACTCATACCCAACCCATTTAACTATTCGTGTCGTGTCGTGTCAAGTTGACTTGCTTATTTTCGTGTTGTGTTCGTATTCATATTCGTGTTGACCTACATAAACTTTGAATAAAAATTTAACACTAAGATTTTATTTTCACTTAATTGAATCTCTCCTCATACTTTTTCTACAAACTAAAAATTAACTTAATAATAATAATAACAACAATAATGAGTAATAATATATTTTTTATACAATAATTATGTCAATACTTGATAAACAGTTACAAATAATTAATATTTTATTTATATAATACTAATTAAATATGTTAATTGTACAACATACAACCAAATTGAACATAAGAAGTAATGGAAAAAACAAGTCATCAAAACATGAAAACTTATATATCCAACGAAAAGGCCAAGTCAATCTCCTTCGAATTAAAAACTTCGTGTTGACGGGTCAATTCGTGTTAAACGGGTTGAATCCGAACACAACCTATTAACACTTCGTGTTGGCCGGTCGTGTCAAAAAATTAGTCAACTCAAACTCATTTATTTGTATCATGTTTCGTATCGGGTTATCGTGTCGTATCAAAAATTATCACCCCTACCCACTAGCCACTTGATCAAGTACAATTATATAATTGTAAATTATATATTATTTTAGATAGTAGAAAATCAAGTACAATTATAAGATAAATAACAACTAATTTAGTGTTAATGAATGTTTTTTAATATATAATGTTGTATAATAATGAAAACGATTTACAGAAGAATACCAAAATTAATTGCGACAAAAAATATCGTATCAGTTAAACATATTTTTATTGTATCGCGTATTTAAAAAAGTGTCGTACCATATATCCGTACTCATATCACGTACCGAAACCACCCACTGAGATAACATTGGGTCTAACAGCTTTACTTCGAGATCAACAACTCAATGGTTTGTTACAAGGGATCACAATTGGTAGAGAGAGTCCTTTCTCGCATTGATTTTTTGCGGATGATAGTCTACTCTTTGTTCAGGCTAATCGTGAGAATGCCTGTGCTATTAATGAGTGTTAACCAGCTATGAAGCTGCTTCGGGGCAAAGTATAAATTTCATAAAGTCGGCTATTGTTTTTAGCAAGAATGTGAATGCTGTGGACAGAGGAGTAGTGCAACAGCAGCTCTAGATCGAAGAGAGAAATCTTTGGGATTACCTTATGTTGCAGTCGATCAAAGAGAGAAATCTTTCATTCAATTCGGCAAAGAGTGTGGCAGAAAATTCAAGGTTGGCAAAGTAAAATGTTTTCGGTGGTTGGGTATGGAAACTCTTGTCAAAGTCGTTGCTCAAGCTATTCCAACTTATGCTATTTCTTGTTTCAAAATTCCTTCTTCATTATGTCACGAGTTACACAGTTTAATGGCTAAATTTTGTTGGGGAGATTCATTTTCGAGTTCTAAAATCCATTGGTTATCGTGGGATATGCTATGTCTTCCGAAGTCAAGAGGAGATATGGGTTTTTGTAATATGGAAGCTTGCAATTTAGCTTTACTGGATAAACAAGCTTGGCGACTAAATCAAATTCTCGGACTCTCTTCTGGCGAAAGTTCTTAAAGCTAAGTATTTCCCTTCTTCGTTTATGGATAGTCAATTGGGATCTCGTCCATCATATTCTTGGCGAGGTATCTTGGCTTTTAGGAAGGTAATACTTGCTGGAATGCGTTGGAGGGTTGAAATGTCAAAGTCCGAGGGATCCATTTATCCATTTTAGAGTCTCCATGTCTAACCCTCTTCGGAATGTTTCGGATGATAAGATGGTGAGTAGTTTGATAGATCCTACAAGACGTTGTTGGGACCTTGCAAAGTTAAATGATGTTTTTCTGGATTTTGAAGTGGTGAATATTCTTTTGATTCTTGTATGTGAGGATTCACCTGTTGATACTTTGGTTTGGCACTATACGAAATCTGGGTCGTATGAAGTTCGTAATGGTTATCATTTGGTTATGCAGCATGAATTGCATAAATGTCAAACAGATCATGCTGTTTCTAGTGGATGTTCTACGGAGAATGAGGACTTCTTTATGCGGAATTTGATTCTTCCAAACAATTTTGTTTAGAAACTTCTATTGAATATTCTGCCTATCCTGGTTAATCTACTTCTCAAAAAAAATTCCAGTGGAAGTTGCTGGTTTACAATTTTATCAAGATGGTGTTCCTAGTTTTCGTGCTTGGCTGTTAAATCTTTCTGATACATTCCGTCCAGATCAAGTGGAGCTTATTGTGGTCTGTTTGGTGCAATAGGAATAGAGCTCGCTTGGGTCAGGCGGTGAAGTGTCCATTCCAGGTTGTTGATTTCTCCATCTCCTATTTGAATCAATATAAGGCTGTCCAGCATCAGTCTTCTCTTCCAATGCAACCACCTAGTGTAGAAGGTCCTTCTTCATGGGCGATTCCTTCTAATGGGTTTTTCAAAGTAAATTTTGATGGAGCACTTTGTTGCGGGGGTTGGTGCTGTCATTCGTGACTGGAACAGATGTTTTGTGGCTGGTTTGAGCAGATGTATTAGTGGTATCTCCAAGGCAGAACAAATAGAAGCTTGGACAGCCATTGTTGCAGTTAAATTGGCATTGGATTTGGGTTTCCACAACGTTGTTCTTGAAGGGGATTCAAAGTCTCTAATCAATCTTATTCGAGGTCGGCAAGAGATCCTATGCGAGATTGGGCATTTTGTGGATAGGATTCATGTGTGAGTTGACAGCTACAGTTGTTTCGACTGTTCTAGAGTTCGTAGAGCTGGTAATAGAGTCGCTCACTCATTAGCTAGATATGCTGCAAATGTAATAGATTGTGTTGTATGGGGAAGAGTAAATCTTGTCATTTTGGATGTCCCTCTTTAACACGTTTTTCTTCGTTAATATTACATAGGTGATCGTTTCTTATAAAAAAAAAATAATATTAAATTTCTTTCGATTAATATTCAATTCATTAAATTAACAACAAACTAACATTTAATTTATTCAATTTATATTAACATTCAAGATCATTCAATAAAGAATCAATTTATCAAATCTATACTAAAGTAATATGCAATTTTATATAATAAAAATTTAATTCATCAAATCAACATCAAATTAATATTCAATTTCATCTAATAAAATTTATCAAATTAATATTCAAATTTAACTATTTAACATTAAATTTATCAAATTAACATTCAATTTCATCCAATTAATATTTAATTTATTAAATTAATATTCAATTCATCCGAATAACACTCAATTTATAAAATTAAAATCCAAAATCATCCAATAAAAATTCAATTTATTAAAAACAACACCAAATTAACATATAATTTTATCCAATTAATATTTCATTCTTCAATTTTACACCGAATTCACATCTAATTCATCAAATTAATACTAAATTTCATCTAAAAAAATATTTAATTTAATTTAATTAATATTTAATTCATCAAATCAACCCAAAATTAATATTCAAATTAATCCAATTAACACTTAATTCATCAAATTAACATAAAAATCATCCAATAAAGATTCAATTTATCAAATCAACACCAAAATAACATGTAATTTTATTTCAATTAATATTCAATTCATCAAATTTACACTAAATTAACATTCGATTCATCAAGTTAACTTTCAAATTTTATCTAATAAATATTTAATTCATCACATTAACATTCAAAATTCAATTTATTTTATTGTTAACATTTGATGAATTAAACTAGTTAAATATTTAATGCTAACTAGAGAAATTTGAATAGTGGACTGAAATGATTTTGGGCAAGAAGGTGGGAAAACGGTGCGGGGAGATATGGTATTCTATCAAGAGTTGATTTGTCCAGACTCATATTATTTGTTGATATATTATGGGCTGATTTTGGATTGGATCAAATAATCAAACTGGTTAGATAAGATCCACTACGACGGCCTAATTTGTTAAATCGGGATCGATCACGACAAACTATGATGGAGCTCACAAAAGTCACACTTAGAGGATAAAAGTGTAATTAATGATTGTTAAATTAGGATCAAAATCACCAATATTTATGGTCGGTCTTAATATCTTGGGCCAAACTCACAAAAAAGATAAAAGTATAATTAACCGTTAAATTAGAATTGTTCGTTGAATATTTATGGTTAATCCTAATATCTTGGGTGAAACTCAAAAAAATCATAAAGGATAAAAGTATAATTAACTATTGGTATTTTAGGGTCCCGAATATTTATAGTCAATCCTAATTTTTTTGTTTTCAAAGTTAGAGGATAAAAATGTTATTAACCCGTTTAATTATTAACCCATTTGTTATGTTAAATTAGGACTTAATGGTTGGTCATAATTTGCTATGTTACAATTTTGGGTTTCCAGGAAGAATTATTAAAGATTAAATTAAAATTTTAGTGGATAAAATGACAAATTGAATATTTTTGGGATGAAATTGATAAAATTGATAGTTAGAGGATAAAAGTGTTATTAAGCTATTGTTAAATTAAGACTGCGCCGTCGGTTGTGATTTATTACAATTTTTTTTTTTTGTTAGCTACAACCTTTTGAGTTATAACCTTTATGGTTGTGTTATAACTATTTGGTTATGTTAGGCATCGAGGTTACAACTATTTTGGTAGAGGTTGCAAAGTTTTTGTTCCAATTTTTTGGGTGGATTACAAGTTTTGTGAATGGGTTACAACTTTTGTGGATTGGGTTTTAATATTTTGGTGGGGTTAAAACTTGTTTTAGATTGACTTACAACCTT